CCATTGATAGCCATTAAAAATCTTGAAAGCTTTGAATTCAAATTTGGATTTTCAAAAATCATTATTTTTATGGATTGGGTGTTGTTGAAAATAATCGGGAATATGGTTTGGAGTTTATATCTCAATTTTGAGGGGTTTTGGTGAAGATTAGACTTGGTTTTGACTGAATTTCAAATTGAAACTCGAAGAAGAAGAAGAAGAAGAAGAAGAAGAAGAAGAAGAAGAAGAAGAAGAAGAAGAAGAAGAAGAAGAAGAAGAAGAAGAAGAAGACATATTGCAGAAATTGTAGATAAATTGTAGATTATTTGTATTCTGATTGTAAATGCTTTATTTTCTGTTTTCACAAATAAAAAACAGCTAAAACTCCTACAAATCTTCTGAAAAATGTAATTATGTCAAAAATTACAATTATGCTACAATTGGATGGGAATTGGGATATAAAAATTTAATGTATCCAGTTTGTAGATATTTTGTAGATAAATTATAGATTATTTGTATTCTGATTGTAGATGCTTTGTTTTCTGTTTTCACAAATCAAAAAACGACTAAAACTTCTACAAATCTTCTGCAAAATATACATTTATGTCGAAAATGCCAATTATGCTACGATTGAATGGAATTGGGATATTAAAATTCAATGTACCCAGTTTGTAGATATTTTGTAGATAAATTATAGATTATTTGTATTCTGATTGTAGATGCATTATTTTCTGTTTTTACAAATCCAAAACGACTAAAACTCCTACAAAATCTTCTACAAAAAATGCAATTATGTCGAAAATCCAATTAAGCTACAATTGAATGGGAATTGGGATATTAAAATTCAATGTACCCAGTTTGTAGATATTTTGTAGATAAATTGTAGATTATTTGTATTCTGATTGTAGATGCTTTGTTTTCTGTTTTCACAAATAAAAAACGACTAAAACTTCTACAAATCTTCTGCAAAAAATAGTCTACAATTTATCTACAATTTTCTACAACTTATCTACAATTTCTGCAATATTTCTTCTTCTTCTTCTTTCAATCTGAAATTCAGCCAAAACCAAGTCTAAATCTTCACCAAAACCCCTCAAAATTGAGATATAAACTCCAAAACATATTTTCAATTATTTATTACAACACCCAATCAAAACAAATAATGATTTTTGAAAACCCAAATTTGAATTCAAAGCTTCAAAGCTTTTTAATGGTTGTCAATGGTGGAATTGCTGCTCTCTTGTCTCTCTGAAGGTTTGTTCTTCTTTATTGAGAAAATTTGAAGCTGAAAGTAAATGCGTGTTTGAACTTTGAAGATTTGACTTCAATTTTGATGACCTTTCTTGTTCTTTATTGATGAACTTCAACTGGAGTAAAATGGGGAACCAACTTTGTTGAAGGGTTTCTTCAATTTTCTATGAATTTAGAGGGAGAATTTGGTTTCAGAAGATGGAAAATAGTAAAAAGAATGTGGGTATGGGTAAAACGTGGGTGGAACTAAGGGGTTAGGAGAGAGAAATGTTCAGATTCCTTTAATTAAGGAGTAAAAAATATATAATTAATTATAACCTTAATTAACTATGGTATAGAATTGATAATTTGGTATACTAAGTGTAATTAAGTCAAATCTTAAACAATGATGCCAAAATTCCTTCTATCAATCATGAGTAATATTGGCCCAATTATCAATGGAATTGGACTGAAGCCCAAAAGACAGAGGGTTCATCTCAACCTTCAAGCATACCTGTCGGAGGCCGTCAGATGCAGGGCAATTTCAACTAAGGTTTAGGTTTTTGACTCAAAACCTTATTATCTTCCATTAGAAGAGAGAGAAAAGGAGAGAGGTTCCGAAGATGGTGCAGAGACTTACTTATCGGAAGCGCCATAGCTATGCAACCAAATCCAGCCAGCATCGTGTCGTCAAAACCCCTGGTAATTGAGTCGTAAATTGATTAGTTATTTAATGTTACTTTTGAAAATATTTTTGATGGGATTGATTTGGAATGTAGGTGGCAAGTTAGTATACCAGAGTAGCAAGAAGCGAGCTAGTGGGCCTAAGTGTCCTGTTACCGGGAAGAGGATTCAAGGGGTAATATCTACTCTCTTTCACTTATTTTGTGTATTTTTATGTATTTACATGTAAGATATTTGTTTATCAGAACAGGGCTACCCAAGTAGCTTTAGCTATTGATACCTAAGAATAAAAGACTGAATAATAATTTAGTATTGGAATGAAATGGACCCGAAAGCTGAATGAATTTAGAAGACAGTGGCGGAGGCATGATTATCAACAAGGGGGTTCAATATCTACTACTATATACATAAAATAGATTTTTGACTTTTTATATACAGTGTGATTTTCTTATGCCCCTTTAGCTCTGCCTTTGATTGAAGATTCATATTGCCACCGCCAGCTTATTTGAGTATGGGGCTTAGTTGATTGATTCATTGATATCTTTAAGAATACAATCATTTTTACCGCACCTTGCTTACAATGTGCTCTTGTATGTGTAATTGTAGTACGAGAAATTACTTTGCTCATCTCTGCAACTATTTAAGTTTCATTTGCACCTTTTGGGCCTCTAGCCTCCAGGCTCTTTTGGTGCCATTTCTAGTTCATGGCGTTTTTATCCAACTTCGCATGTTGGTGGGCTGGTAGCCTACCTTTTAACGTCATATGAATCTCACTGGGTGTATCGAGTTATGTTTCCTTACGTGTGGATTCTGTGGTTGCTGTAGTTTGAAAATGTTATGTTGGCAATCTAAGTGAGCATTTCTTCTTGGTATGTTTAACTGGATATATTTAGTTTGTTCTAGACTGCTAGGTGTTTCGCAGACTCACAGTGAGGCTAAATCATCTATATTGCTCTTAGTAGAGTTTTATTATTCTCGAGCTATTCATACTTTTAATATTTTCCCTTAATTGTGCCATTCTTCATTAAGCCGTGCTTTATTTGCACTTTGCACTTGAAGCCCTAGTGGATTTCAACACTTTTCGTCATTCCTTGCCTTTGATAACACCAGTTAGTCTAACATGAGTATAACTTTTTAATGTAAAATGTACTTTTTAAAGGTTGTGATTGATTGATTGGCCCATTTTCCTTTGTTCTCCCAATCCACAAAGCTGTAGGTGAAGCTGCACTCTGGATGATTGACTCCTCCTTTTGACCTTGTTAATAACTGAGTTCAGATCATCTCTCATAAGTCATAACTCCTTAGCTTTAATATTAGGAATTATTTGGTGAGTCCTAACCTTTAATTTACCGGAGCACATAGAACCTTTCTCACCTTTCTTTGGTGATTCATTGGAAGATCTGTGCATCATCTAATCAAAGAAATGACTTGAAAGACCAATTGAGCAAGTGCAGTGGCAAAAATAGTACATGTTAAAATGGTTTTTGTTTACCCATAGCTGACGGTTAATTCTGCCATTAGAGCAGGAGAACCAGGCTTAAACATTTAAGATCATCTTGTTTTGTTGATCCTCAAAGTTTGATAATGTTCCCTTGTTCAAGAGTCCCCATGCTAGAAGTGACTAGCTCCATATTCCATAAGAAATGTGAACGCCACGGTTAGCTTTCTGGTGGCTTCTTTGTTGAATGTATGGTCATAAAGTTGTGTATTTGTTATCCGGACAGCTTACAACCTCAGTTTATGACTGACTTATTGTGCAATTTGTTTGAGCACGTAGAGCAATTTACTAACATCAGCAGCTGGTTGTTTCGTAGATCCCTCACTTGAGACCAGCTGAGTATAAGAGATCTAGATTGTCTAGGAACAGGAGGACCGCGAATCGTGCCTATGGTGGTGTGTTGTCTGGAGGAGCAGTGAGAGAGAGGTTTGTTCTCTCTTGATATATGTTGCCCATTCTCTGATATTTGTTGTCCCGGGTTTCTCATCATGTTCCTGTGAGTCATACGTGAGCAACGTTGGTTTTTCAGGGTTATTCGAGCTTTCTTGGTGGAAGAGCAGAAAATTGTGAAGAAGGTTTTGAAGATTCAAAAAGCCAAAGAAATGCTGGCAGCTAAGAGCTGAGGAGTTAATTTATAGGAACTTTCTGATTTCAAGTCTTGGAAATTTTAACATTCAAGTGATTACTGTTCGTGCACTTAGAAATTGTGAGTTGCTTATATTATGAATCAAAATGATTATTTTTACTGTCATTATCTCATTCTAGATAGATCTAGTTGTTCGACTTGTCGTAATTCCTCTAAAACATGGGATGCAGTTTCACTGTGCTTGTTGAAGTATTACTGGAAGAAATTTGGCATATGATGACCAATAAAATTTGTGTTCAAGACCAAATCTAACATTTGTTACGACTTAGCGATATCGTGAAATTTTTTAAGCATTTGGTTGGAATCTACAAGCTGTGACTGTTTTGGCCGCATTGAGGAAATTATTAAGCTCAACTTGTTACTTACACTATGTTATGACGAAGAGCTTCAAAAAAGTAAACTAAGTGAAATTATGGAAATTTCTGGAAAAGCAAATATAGAAGATGAAAGAGAACTTTGTACGGTTGTGGATGTACCCATTCCAGAGATGAACTTTGGCTCTTTAAAAGGGTTCTTCTGGCAAGAATTTGAATTCAATGCTTCAAATTGTTATCTATATATTGAGTGAGGACAACTGATTCCACAATAGCTTTTCCCTTTTGAAGAAGCACGGCACGTACTCGTGTTGGCCTCACTTTCTTGGAATTTATGGCTTTAGTTTTGAGTCCTTTGACTAAGTTACAACCTAGTGACTAATAACTCGAACTATCACGAGTTCAAATTTCAGTAGTCGGGAACTCTCAGCATCTCGGACAAATTCGGAACAATTTTGTGCTCTCGTATATCACGTTCCTCCACCTAAAATTGCATCAAATTTGTGTAACGATGCACGAACTTTCATTCGTTATTGTTTCATTAATGAAATAAATCGTATTGGTATTGTTATTACCAATAAACAGGGTGAAAAAGAAGAAGATTTCGATGCAAGAATCCATGTTAAGGGCGATTACTTTCGTTCACACAAATTTAAGGACAAATCAGATACATTTAAGTGCTAGCAGCAATATAAAGTGATTTTCACCAAAACATAAGTAGCCTTTCGAATTCAGATGGCCAAAAAAGCCTTATTACAAAACAGAATTCAGCACAAAAGCGGTAGGTGCAGACAGAAACTTAAAAACATCAATTTCTTGGCGTTTTGAAGCCCACATCTTTGAGAAAATGAAGAAATGAAACCACCTTGTCATGAGGTGGTGCATATTCTTTAACTATAGGCAGCTCAATTAGACTAGTCACCCATGAGCATAACAAAGGTGTCTTGTCTGGATCCAGTATCTTCACACCAAACATTTGCTCTTGCACTTTGTATCCCCCTAGTGTAACAACAATCATGATATCTAGCAACCCCATATTCCTTCCTAGTATATTAGTGTCGATACCCAGGGAGGAATTCTTGATTCCATCTTCTAACACGTTCAGTTTCTCTAGAAATTCCTCTAATGCCTCGTCTTGTCCTTCCCCTTTCAAGACCTTGAGCATGCACTCTGTTACCTGTATATAATTAGAGGGGCATCATGAATTAAATTAGTAGGTGCAATATTTCAATGCACACACTATTCATTTGTAACAATAGATGTGTGCTTAGTATAAATACAAAATTTCAACTTCTCTACTAGATATATAGTCCTTTTTGCTTTAGGAATTCTGAATCTACTAATCGACTAATTCAAATAAATTCACACTTAAAGGGGTAAAATGCTCCTTACTACTTCATTCCAAGAGTTTGAACTCAAAATCTTAGGTTAAGGCTGAATCCCAACCATCTCGCGGCCACACTCCTTGGTGATATTGTATGGGTAAAAAATTATCTCTAAAATGCTCGAGCCATGATGGTATTGATAAGGCATTCGCAGGCCGCCATATGTCACCTATGTGACTCTAATAAACCTGCCCAAGGACGAGGTGGTTCAAGAAACAACGAATGTCACAGTCGAAGAGTCAACAAAGATCAAGGTCGAGGTCGAACATCCTTGACAAAGTTATAACGACTAGTTTCAAGGTATAATATTGAAGAGAATATTCTATTGGATATTTTATGCACCTATACTATTAGGGTTTTCTAGGAACTTGTTCCCTATAAATAGAAAGAGACACAATGATATTAGGGGGAGATATTGATTTGTAAAAAACACACATTGACTTTATTGAGAGAATCTGTTCCTATTGCAAGCATACAAAAACAACTTTTTTACTAAGATTCTTGTCTAACTTTTCCACTGGATCCAAGAACAATGTAAGTGTTGAAAGGCTTATCAATTAATATCCACTCATCTCACCCCTTTCGGGTGACTCACACATTTTCTTTACTTAAATGTCATTTATTAATATTTATTACTATTTAATGACATATCCCATCTTTTTGGATCATTGAATATCGTTATCATTACTTAAATTCGTTGTCATCTAGACAAAATATATAAGTTGTTTTGTCTTGACACCGATAACCTTATCTTTTGGATATTATTTTTAATTAAAATTAACTCTTCTTCGTATCAATCTAAATGGTTGAACCAACGTCAATATTTTTGGTCAAATAGATATACGTATGGATATATGGTTCGTGATTTGATAGGATGAAGCATTCAGAGATAAAGCAAATATGCAGCTGATGGGTTGGGGTATAGTAGGTTCAGATGCCTAGATACTAGTATATCTTAGCTACTAATTTCTATTCTATTTATAACGTAATTAGTAAAGGTAAATCTACTTAATCATATCGACTACTTGTGCATCGATCAGCTGGGTCGAAAGAAATGAATGAACAAATTTTGTGACATGAATTACCTGTTGGATGTAAGAAGCCCAGAATCGGACTCTGGATCTTTCATAAGGATCTTCTGGAAAGAGTCGAGATTTGTTCTTCCATGTCTCATCAATGTATTCAAGAATGACAAAGGACTCCGATACTGGCTTACCATTATGGACAAGTATTGGTACTTTCTTATGAATGGGATTGTATTTGAGGAGCAATGTACTTTTGTTGCTCAAATCTTCTTCTACATACTCAAAAGGTATGCCTTTGACTTTGAGAGCCAGTTGTACTCTGTTCACATAGGGGCTAATCCACATTCCATGTAGAGTGACCTTATTTTCCTCTCCCATTTTGGTCTCTCAGATTGTTTCAGAGAATTAATTTACATGTTTAAGTTTGTCATATATAAATTTCCTCAAACACTTCCTCCGACTCAGTCATCCAAGGCTGGGCAATTCTTTAGAAATTTTTTAGTTTCACAATAAGCGGAGACCAGAACTGTCTGTAGTCAAATTTGACCAGAATATTTTAAAAGAATTGACGTATGTGATAGGAGTAATATAATATGTTCTCTGCATTTTTGACCTGCGAGCCGATACTGAATTATGATGATAGCAATGACCTCAGCTTCCCATTTCTTGGGGCCAAAGTTTGCCATAGTCTCCCTCCCCCCCCCCCCCCCCCCCCCCTTTTTTTTTCTTCTGGGGACGTGGAGAATGGAGATGGAGCTAGTTGACGGCAAAGTTACAGCGTTTCAATTGAATTTTTTTCGAAGAAAATTACTCCTACATCACTTTTACGTAAGACAAAAATTCTCAAGTATACATTCAAATTGTTGAATTCCATCGACATGAGAAACTTTTAGTGAAATGATAAATTACTTTAGGTTGTTGGTTTGAATCTCAAGTCACACTCCATCATTTTCTGAATCTCCTGGTTAGTGGCCATGGCCAAAGTCAGGACCATAATTTTAACCATGGATATTACTAATACTAAAATAAAAAGAATTAATTTGATCGGGGAATAACAAAATTGAGACAGTCTCCCAAAGGGGCAGTGATATCCGCACTTCAGACAAATAGACAAACTAGCTAGAGCCTCTGACTCTGAGGGAGAGAATAAAAATTGCGCACTGCTTGTACAATTAAATGAGGAAAGTCATTTCCCCTAATTTGATAGAAATATCAGAAAAATACTTGCTGATGAAGAACATTTTCTGGATGATGACTTTTTGTTGTATGAACACACTCAAAATGTAATTAAGTAGCCTTTGGAATCCAAATCGTGATCTTCCAAGTCATTTTCCTTAATGACGCACATATATGAGGCGACGTGTTCGTTTGGATCTGTCGTCCCGTTATACTTCGCAATCTCGGGCATATAGAACTTCTTTGGGATTGGCTTCGGAGCTGCACTTGGGGGAAAAGGTTTTTGGCAAACTTTTTGGAATCAAATCCTTTCAATACTGGTGGTGCCTCCGGAATTTGGTTGACCCTGAAGTTATAAGTTTCCACTTTCTTATCATTTTCCTCGATCTTCTTTTCCCTGGTCTCGGTTCGCTTCATCAGTTCCCTGAGCAATTTTACGATAGTGATCTCTTTGGCACCGATTCGGCTCTATAAACAACTTCTTGGGATGGATCGAGCTCGATCCTGCTTGGTGCACGATTCTGATTTTGGAGTTGTACTATTGCAGCTTGTTGAGTCTGCAATATCTCGAATATCATTCGAAGGCTAATTCTGCCTTCTTCACCGCCCTATGCATCTGATCGGCTGTTCGAGCATCTCTGCGAATGCTATTTTCAGATCGACGCCCAACTTCCCGTTAATGGCAATATGGGAGCTGACGTCAATTGGGTCTACGACCGGGGGTACATCGGGGTTGATTGGAGATACTCTGTTTTCGGGGGCAGCTATGTTATCGTTTTCACCGTGGAAACCAAGGCCATTGTCTGCCTGTGTGGGTGCTACTTGAGAGTTTGACATGTTGATCCTGAAATCAAAGACACTTACAAAAACAAGTGTAAAGCAGAGCGTGTTATGAGAATTAATACCAAGCAATCACTATTATCCTTAGCCCCACGATGGGCGCAAAACTGTTTACTCTTAAAACCGGATCACAATTAAACTTATAAATGGTTTTAAGGATATGTGATTTCACTTGACACAAACTGATAAATATAAGAACTAATGCTATGAATTAATAATAAAATAAAGCAAACCAGTGTGATGAACAATTATGGCCCTTGAGCTAATTGCTCTCGAACCAACTGAACACGTTATTGAGAGTATGAACTCGACAATAGAACTTGCAAAAGATAAAAGTGTGATATAATGCTTTGATATGCGTGAATGTAAGATGGTTACAAATGATTGAAGCTCCTTTGTATAGTAGAGAAATTTCACCTATGGTACAATTCTAATTACAGAAGGAAATTACATGATTAGCTAAACAACCTTTCTTGATTTAAACCGTTTCGAGATTTCCACCATGATACTAGGCCAATCACGGATATTTCGCCTTTCCGTATTATGCTATCTTCGGTCTTGCTCGATGTCTATTTTGTTTGGCCTGGATCATCACTGATCTCGATCTCGACAGGTACTTCGAATCCCGAACTCAGTACCTTATCCTCATATCTCGGTCTCAGATGCTACGGGGCCGATCCTCGATCCATCCCTGTCGTCGGTTAATCAGTAAAATCGGACGGCCCCCGTCAAGACCGTATACAATACTACTTATAAATTTTCTCCAACACTTTCTCGAATCTTCGTTTCAGTCATTCAAGACCAGGCAATTCTTTAGAATTATTTTTGTGTCACGGTAAGCTGGGACCAGTACTCACTTTAGTCAAATTTGACAACAATATTCTAAAAGAATTGACGTATGTGATAGGAGTAATATATATTATGTTCTCTGCATGCCGATAATGACTTGTGGTGATAGCAATGACCTTAGCTGCCCATTTCTTGGGGCCAAAGTTTGCCAAAGTGGCGTGAAAGCAAAGGAAAGGCCGGAAAGAAATAATAGTCTTTTCCCTTTTGTTTTCTGGTGACGTGGAGATGGAGCTAGTTGACGGCAAAGTTACAGTGTATCAAGGGGTTCAATTGAATTTTTTTGGAAGAAAATTACATTACTTTTACGTAAGAAAAAAATTCTTAAGTATACATTCAAATTGTTGAATTCCATCGAAACATGAGAAACTTTTAGTGTAATGATAAATTACTTTAGGTTGTTGGTTTGAATCTCAAGTCACACTCCATCAGTTTCTGAATCTCCTGGTTAGTGGCTATGTCCAAAGTCAGGACCAAAATTTTAACCATGGATATTACTTAATACTAAAATGAAGAGAATTAATTTGATCGGGGAATAACAAAATCGAGGCAGTCTCCCAAAGGGGCAGTGAGGGAGAGAATAAAAATTGCGCACTGTTTGTACAATTAAATGAGGAAAGTCATTTCCCCTAATTTGATAGAAATATCCGAAAAATACTTGCTCATGAAGAACATTTTCTGGATGATGATTTTTTGTTGTATAAACACACTGAAAATGTAATTAAGTAGCCTTTGGAATCCAAATGGGCATAAGCCTTATTATACAATACAGAGGAAAGACATTCAGTACAATTAATGAGTGAGTGAGTACACACAACATACAGAGATCAACATTAAAAAAGCTCAATTGGCCGGAGATTTGAAGACCATTTCTTTGAGAAAATGAAGAAATGAAACAACCTTGTCATGAGGTGGAGTGATTTCTTTAACTATAGGCAGCTCAATTAAACTACTCAACCCTGAGCATAACAAAGGTGTTTTGTCTGGATCCAATATCTTCACACCAAACACTTGCTCTTGTACTTTGTATGCCCCTAGTGTTATAATGATCATGATATCTAGCAACCCCATATTCCTTCCTTCTATATTAGTGTTGATACCCAGGGAGGAATTCTTGATTCCATCTTCCAGCACGTTCAGTTTCTCATAAAATTCCTCTAATGCTTTTTCTTCCCCTTTGAAGACCTTGAGCATGCATTCAGTCACCTACGCATAAGAGTGTCAATGGTCAATAAAAATCAATTGAATCAATGGAAATGAGCCTTATCCAACTAATTATTTAGTAGTTCTTTTAAAGTAAAATCATAAGTTTCAGTTTATATATATATATATATACCAAATAATTAGGATAAGTTTTTAATTTTATGACAGAAATCGATCCATAATATATATCTTAATTAAGTAATTATTCAACCAAATATTTGTGTTGATATAGAGGGTTTAAGTGTTAGATTTTAAAATATAGGGTGTGTACGTATGTGCAGTTAAGTCATATTAGAGAAGTATTTAGTGTAATTTGTCCTTTTTTGTTTTGGTAATAAAGGTAAATATTATACATAACTAAGCATGCGTACAGAGTGACTGGTACGTAATTTGTCATTTTCTTACCTCAACCCCGTTCCTTTATTTTACCTTAGGATAGACTAAATAGGCAAAACTAATACACAGTATACACATCATCCATGAATGAATTTTTTTGAACAATGTGAAAATGGCTAGAAAGAAAGAATGAATTTTGTGACATGAATTACCTGTTGGATGTAAGAAGCCCAGAACCGGACTCTGGATCTTTCATAAGGATCTTCAGGCAAGAGTCGAGGTTCATTCTTCCATGTTTCATCAATGTATTCAATAATGACAAATGACTCCGATACTGGCTTTCCATTATGGACAAGTACTGGTACTTTCTTATGAATGGGATTGTATTTGAGGAGCAATATACTTTTGTTGCTCAAATCTTCTTCTATATACTCAAAAGGTATGCCTTTGACTTTGAGAGCCAATTCTACTCTCTTCACATAAGGGCTAGCCCACATTCCATGTAGAATGACCTTATTTTCCTCTCCCATTTTGGTCTCTCAGATTGTTTCAGAATGGAGATGCTTATGTTTAAAGTCGTCATATATAAATTCTTTACATCTTTTTGGCTTACCACTTGGCCACAATTGTCTAAAGTCAAGATTTGACTCGTATATTTTAAAAGAAACGACATATGTGATAATGCAATATTTCTGACTTATTAGCGGATTTAATGATCTAGATGACAAGTTCAATGACCCCAGCAGCCTATTTCTTTGTGCCCAAGTTTGGAAAACAAATGAAGGATAGGTGAAATCATGAAGCAATAAATAAACTTTTTTTTTCCTTGGATATGGCGTGGAGATGGAGTTAGTTGAATTCCAAATACACAACCTATTATGGAGAAGTTAAATTTTAATCAAACGGAAGAACATGATTTGCACTTCTTAATTCTTAAAAAGAGATCTGTGTCCTCATATTGCTTGGGAGGGAATAAAGAGCTCAGTAAGTTTATTTTCTGGTTGTGGGATGAAAGTTCTATTCACTGCTAGAAATTCGGTAAAAACCGACCGTGGTCGACCGATCGATTTTGGCTGGTCAGAAAACTGGCCAATTCGATTGGTTTTTAAAAAAATATAATTTTGTTTACGAAACCAACAAACTTTGGTCGATTTTCTTTGGTACAAAATGCGGGAAACTATATTTGGGTCCCGCAAAATTTATTTTTGAATAAATCGACTAACATTGGTCGGTTTTTAATTTAAAATAAATTAAAATTAATAATAAAAAAATCGACTGAAAATCGGTTAGTTAATTCGGTCGGTCATTTTAAAAAACGACTTAATTCGGCCGATAATTTTATGTTTGAATTAAACCGACCGACATCGGTCGTTTATTTTCGTGTGAAAATACAATTAAAGAGTATAAATGAAATAAAAAACGGTCTTAAAACAAAATGCACCAATGGTCTGGTGGTAGAATAATATCCTGTTATATTACAGACACCGGTTTGATTCCTAGATGGTGCATCTTTTAATTACATAATTAAAATACCGACCGACGGTCAGTTTTTTCGGCAATTTTTTTTTTTGAATTTAATTGACCGACCAAAATTGATCGGAAAACTCTACCGATAATACGATTATCGACCGCCACGAATTAGTCGATTTTCGATCGATTTTTGCTAATTACTGGCTAACATCGATCGATTTTTTCCCTTTTTAAGTAGTAGTTGTTAAATTATTAGAGCCTTCAAGGTGAAATAATTTCGGTTAAGCTATTTGATCAGAAAACACAAAATCATATCGACTAGGTGTATGACAGAGTTCCAAAAATAGCCAAGAAATTTGTTTACGTGTCATGTGTTCCAAATAGCTTATGTGAGTTTAAAGAAGTTGTTTACCGTTAAAATGGACAAGAATTGAATTTATACGTGTTTTTAAGGATATATGAACTAATTCAATACTAGTGATTAATATCGTTATATGAGCAAATTAAAGATATAATAAACAGCCAAACCAGTAGTAGTATTGAGTCTGGGCTCAGTTATGAGCTTAACAATTAGCCTGCCTTCAGTTCGGAGCCAAATATTTATGAAGAACTATGAGCAAAAATAAGAACTTTGAATAAGTGTTGGAACTAGAGAAGACAAATGTATATTGCCTTGGTATGCATATTATAATGCGTACCTTGAATAAAAATTATCTCCTTTCTATAGTAGGAGAGTTCCACCCCTTGTACAATTCTAAGAACGGTAAAAATTTTCTTTATCGTTAATAACTAATCTACTGCCGATGCGGGTCGAGATTCACGCCGTGATATCTTCTCAGGCACGGATATCAAGACCCTTTGTTAATCGTGTGTGGACGTTTGATAATGTTTTCTGAGGTCTTGGAGCTCGAACCAGATCCGGGGGAATGGTCTCGATGGATCCGAGGGCAGGTATTTTGTTCGGGCCTTAATACGAGAGGCTCTCAACTTTTATTTTGATTCCTTGTAGTTACATCCTTTTGTTTCGATCACATAGAATTTTATTTCCTGAATGATCCCCGCGGTGTTCACTAGTAGGGTTATCTCCCATTTAGTAGTTTCACATGCCATGTTAAATCCGTTCAACACTCGAATTGCTGGCACTATTTGGTCTTGTAGACCCAACTGCTTTACGACCCTCGATCCGATGATATTGGCCGAGTTACCTGGATCAATCAATACACGTTTAACTCGAGATTTATTTATAAGTACAAATATAACCAGTGCATCAATATGCCGTTGTATGATGCGTTCGATGTCCTCATCATTGAACGAAATGGTTCCCTCCAGGATATAATCTCGGGTTCATTTTTCCCTTGTGATGGACACCTTAGTTGTCACAATCCAATTTCTCCCTCCATGAATTATCGTGACAACACATAGTCTCTACGACTAAGTAAGCCTAACACTTCGCGGAAATGAAATAAAAAACATAAAAATTTAACAACTAACAGTAAAAGATAACTTAAATAAAAAAAATATTTGAGATGCCGCTCGGCATATTCAATAATCACTCTCGAAATGTACACAACTCTTCCAAGACTCGGAACACCATAAGTCACAAGCTTCTAAGATCTTTGTCAACTGTTCTATACAACTGTGCTGGTATAAATAAAAGGGAAGCAACATCAGATAGGATAGAAGGAGACTCCGAGGTCTGTGGACGCGGCAAATTTACCTTGAAGTCTCCGAAATGGCAGCAACTGTGCAACTAAAAATGAGGTTGGTCGGAGGTAGCTTGATCTGCACATGAAAAACAAGTACAAGAAAGGGCATGAGTACACCACAATGATACCTAGTAATTCGAAGCCTAACTTCGATCGAGTAGTGACGAGGTCAGGTCAGGGCCCTACTGGTATATATATATATATATATATATATATATATTGATAAGTTGGTATTTTACCAAATAAAACAAATAGAATGAAATATCGCAGTAAAATATATACGAAAATCTAACAGGAATAGAATCAGTGAAAGATAACAGCTCAGAACACAATGATAACAACATGGGATATTTCAGGATACCGTCCCATAGTCCCAAACGTAAATGCGCAGGGGGATTTTCTGGAATACTGTTCCGTAATCCCAAAGTAAATATGTAGTGCTGGGAGATCTCTCGGAATACCGTTCCGTAGTCCCAAAGTAAATATGCAGAGGGATCTACCTGAATACCATTCTGTAGCCCCAAAAGTAAATACACAGCTCGAACAATAGAAATAACAGCTATAACACGATATCCTACAATTTATACTAAGTACAAGTCGAGGAAAAAGCAGAGAATTCACTAACCATGTTTCACAGAGTTCAGATAGGCAATTAAGACATGTAGACATGCTATTCTAAAGTAAACATGATAATTACATATGCTAGTGTAGCTCAAATAAAGTGAAACAGGTTATTACTTAGTGAAAAAAGGAATTTTACAACAAATAGCTCGTGTACGCACTTGTCACTTCACGTACACGACGCTCACATATCAAAATAATACCAAATCTTAAGGGAAGTTCCCCCACACAAGGTTAGGCCACTTACCTCGAACCAAGCTCAAATCAATCCGTAACAATGTTTTTCCCACGAATATCCGACTCTGAATGACCAAATCTAGCCAAAATCAATTACATAACATAAATATAACTACAAGGAATTGATCTAGCTAATGAAATCAAAGCTAAAGCAAGAATTAAAAAATCGCCCAAAAAGTCTCCCCGGACCCACATCTCGGAATCGGGTAAAAGTCACAAAATATGAACACCTCTTTACTCACGAGTTCACCCTTACCAAAATTACTCAAATCCAATACCAAAATCCCGATCTCAAAACCCTAAAATTCGGCCTAAGAACTTTTCTCAAATTTTTCCAATTTTTCACCCAAAATTCAAAATTAAATGATAGATTAGTGGGATACTGTAACGATCCGGCTGGTCGTTTTAAGAATTTAAGCTCTATTCAGTGGCGTAAGGTCTTGAACAACTTCATATTATGTATATCGACTTGCGTGCATGGTTAAATTTAGTTACCGGATGATTCAGAGTCGCATTGGAAGAAGGAATCTAATTTTAAAAGCTCTAGCAGTGAGAATTTGACCGGAATTTGACTTTTGAATAAATGGCTCCAGAATGAGTTTTGGATGATGTCAACAGCTTCGTATGATAATTTTGAACTTAGGTGTGCGTCCAAATTCAGGTTTAGAGGTCTGTAGGATAATTTGAGATATTTTCGGCGAACGTTGGAAAAGTTGAAGTTTGGAAAATGGAGAAGTTTGATCCACAGTTGAATTTTGTGGTATCAGGGTCGGAATGCGATTCTGAGAGTTGGAGCAGCTCCGTCATGTCATTTGAGACTTGTCTGCAAAAATCATTCCTAGTTGATTCGATTGGTTTCGGCACGTGTTTTTGAAATTTGAAGATTTGGAAGTTCATAGTTCGATTCATGGCGTGATTTATATTTTTGGCGTTGTTTGGTGTGATTTGAGACCTCGAGCGAGTCTGTATTAGGTTATAGAACTTGTTTGTGTGTTTAGACGGGGTTCCGGGGCCCTCAGTGTGTTTCAGATAAGTTTCGGATGTTTTGCATGGTTTTTGAACATGTCGATTTCTGGTGTTTTCACACCTGCAACCATGGGTATTTGAATTTGATAAATTTTGTATGGTTGAACTCGTATCAGAATGGGTATTTGGTTTTTGTAAAATTTGTTGGGTTCCGAGGTGCGAGCCCGGGGGTTGACTTTTGGACCATTTTTTGGGTTTTATTAAAGATTGAGACTTTATGATCCGAAATAGTTTCTTATGTGTTTTATTTGTGCTTTGAAGTTATTTTGGTTGGATTTGATCCGTCTGGAGGTCTTTTCACCCGAGAAGTGAATTTTAGAGTATCGGTCTGTTGTCTTTGAGGTAAGTATTTTGCCCAACCTTGTGTGGGGGATTTCCTCTTAGGACTTGAGTCTTTTAAGTTGATTGTAGTCCGTGTATGTGAGGTGACGAGTACGTACTCAGACTTATTTATAGGAGATTGGCCTTTTAGGGTTCTTAAGTCCTTATATTCACTATGTATGAAGTTGT